TTCACATTATTCACATTGTTCACATTTGTTACATTTGTATTGGTCTCGCTTTTAACCACATTGTAATTGTTGACTGTGATCTCCTTTTTATCTTCGTTAACAATAGTATTATTAACAGTAGTAATTTCATTTTTAATATTCGTGTTAACTTCATTATAATTGATGATTTCGTTAACAGTAGTTGATTCATTTTTAATATTCATGTTTTTAACTTCATTATAATTGCTGATTTCGTTAACAGTAGTAAATTCATTTTTAATATTTGTAGTTATTCCGTTTTTAACTTCATTATAAACGTTTGTTTCATTGACAATCTTTGTTTCAAAATTTTCAACATGTTGATTTTCTATATTTGTTATATTTGTCACATGTTGATTTTCTATATTTGTATCAATTTTTTTGTCGATATTTTGGTTTTCTATATATGTCTCAATGTTTTTTTCGATAGTTTGGTTTTCTACGTTTAAATTTTCGATATTCGTCGTAATATCTCCCGTCACATTGGTATTTGAATTCGAATTTTCCATGTTAATGTTTTCAATACTAGTTTTTAAATTTTTTACTTTTAACGATTCAATATTGGTTTCAGCATTTGCAATGGTTTGATTTTCAATATTATTATCAATGGTATCTACTGTTGAATTTACAATATTTGTTGAAGAATTGTTCACATGTTGATATGTAATTTCGTGATTTATGTTATTCGCATCCAGGTTTTCAATATTAACGTCCAATTGTTTAATTTCCTGTTTATTTATATTCGTTACCATATTTTCCAACTTCATGTTCTCAATTTCATTTTCCATTTTTCCTATATTACTATTTTCTATTTTCTCTTCAACATTAGATATACTTATATTCTCAATTTTGATCTCTTGGTCATTAATACTTTGATTAGTAATTTCATTCCCCACTTCATTTACGTTTATATTTTCAATATTGATTTCCATATCTTTTGTAGTGATCTTTCCAACGGTAGTATTAACATTTCCAATAGCTAGACTTTTGACATCGGTTTCAATGGTATTTGAATTAATACTTCCAATTTCGAAATTCGGATTTTCAACTTTCATAGACTCAATTTGATTATCTAATTTTTCAATATTTAGGTTGGTTTCGACTACTGGCTTGGAGATTTTTATGGTCGGAACATCCGGGGTATTCACGACGTTTTGTGTTACGTTTGATGGATGCGAAATTTCAAGATGTGGTAGATGTGGTTCAATGTTGATTTCTGACTCTTTTTCGTCGTAAGTTTCTTCTGAGACTTGAAGAAAGGTAGCGGAATCATCAATATGTTGATCGTCACTTTGTGATTTTGGATTTTCTTCATAATTAAATTTTCCTTCAATTTGAGGAAGGGTGGTGGAATTATCAATATTTTGATCGTCACTTTGTGAAAGGATGATTTTTTGATTTTCTTCATAATTAATTTTTTCTTCAATTTGAGTAGGATTATCGATATTTTGATCGTCATTTTGTGAAATTTCGCGATGCGGTTCAATGTTGATTTCTGAATTGTCTTCTACTATCTCATTTAAATTTTCTGTATTATTATTATCATCCTTATTATTCTCACCATCTCCTTTATTTTCTTTATCTTCTTTATCGATGATATTTTTATTCATAATATTTTCAGTATTATGATCTAAATCATCTTTCAAATCAAGTTCTCTCGTGGAAATTTCATTGGGCTTCTCGA